AAATTAAAAAATAAAAAATAATACAAATTGAAAAAATAAATTAACAAAGAAAAATAAAACACTTAAGACCTAGCCTCAGAGCAACGCCTGAGCCTGAAACCTAGTGACTGTATATATTGCTCTAGTAGAATATATAGAATTTTAAAAAAAACTAAACTAGTCGAAATTAATCATAAGGCCTAAATATGTATCAACATGCTCAGCTATAAAGAAATTTGTATCTTGATCTTTAAATATTTTTTATATATTACCTTCATAGGTATCAGCAAGATAATTATTATTTATTTTTCTATTAACCTATTTTCTGCATAATGCTTCAAATTCTCTTTGGCTGTATAATAACTAAAGTTGATTTTTAATATTTATTATTGAGTAAAAAAGCAAAAGACGATATAATATTCCATCTTTTGTAGGTACTTCCTTTGCTAATAGTTGATTATAAGGTTGTCTTATTTTAAATATTAGATAATTAAAATATTCTATAAAGGTACAACAAAGACATATTAGGATTTGTCCAGGCTTTTTTGTTATTACTTTATTATAGTTGTATAATTTATTACATGCTAAACATGTTGCATAATTATTTATATATAGACCTAATCCCATTAACTTTTGGCCAAATAGAGTGATTTAGGAAAGTTTATAAACTGATCTTGATTAAGATAAGTCAATAGATAATAAATAAATTTAAGTAAAGAATCTGTTGCAGTATCTGGTAACTAATATCTTTGTTGGTATTTCAAGATTCAAATTAATATCCAACTAAATCTTTCATCATAATTTTCAATATTTTTGAATATTTCTTCTTTACTATTTTTAATATCAAGAGTTGAATAATCTAACATGATATCCTCATCATTACTTTTAGGATCTATTTCTATAACTTCTTTATTATAATTTAAGGTAGCTAAATTTTCTTCAACTAAATTAATATATGGTTGTTCTCTAATTATAGTTTTTTTTTTCTTTTATCTTTTGTAACTACAAGAAATAATTCTTCTTGAAGACTAACATCTATTAAACTAGGAATAGAAATACCAATTAAGATACTACTGCCTTTTATTTGAGGATTAGTAAGAGAAGAAATATCAGGTTGAGGTTCAATAGAACTTACAAATTCTTCACAAATTTTATATTTTTTAATATAAGTATCTTTTGTTTAGAGATCACAAAGTTCACTTTTACCTTTACATACTTTACATATACAAATAACTTTTTTTCATATTTTTGATGCAGGTAATTTAACAAACATTTGATGACTCATATTTAAAGTGTGTTTAGAAGTTACAGTGTTTGATATAATGAGATAAGACAGACAAAAGGTCTTTAAATACAAAATTATATGTATATTTTAGTAATATATTTTTTATTTACTATTTCACTATAATTTTTTATGATAAATAGAATTTCTTTAATATAATAAAGCCCAATCTGTAAAAACAAAAAAAAGTGCATTAAGTTATTTAATAAATTACTTTTTACATCTCCTTAGTTAGCCTTTTACAATCACAAAACTTATTTTTTTTTGAGACAATTTAAAGCACAAGAAGTATTTTTAACTACAGAGCCATTGAAAGTATTTAGAAATTTCCTTTTTGATAACAACTCATTTTTAAATATAAAAAATTTCTTGCATTATCTTTCAAAATATTGATACAATAGAAAATAGAAACTTTGAGAAATACATATATATCTTAATAGAAGTATCGATAATTCAACTTATATACCAAAATAGGAGTATTGGTAATTCGACTATCAAAATAAATAATAAAAGAAATAAGATTCAATTTTTTCTAGTAACTTTATTTAACAATAAGACCATTGACTATTGATACTATTTAGAAATTTCTTTTTTGTAATAATTCATTTTTAAATATAAAAATTTCTTGTATGATTTTCAAGAATTGGTACAATAAAAAATAAAACCTCAAGAAATATATATACTAATAGAAGTATTGGTAATAAATCTATGTATCAAAAATAAACTAATAAGAAAACAGCATTAATTGCAATTTAATTTTTCTAGTAACATTAACTTTATTTAACTATAAATCCATTAATATTATTTAGAAATTTCCTTTTTGTTAATACTCATTTTTAAATATAAAAATTTTTTATACTATCTTTCAATATACTAATATAATAGAAAAATAGAAATCTTAAAGAATAATTGTTTACTACATATATATCAGAGTAGGAGTATCAAAAATTCAACTATCAAAATAAACAATAAGAAATAGGATTCAATTTTTTTATTTAGCAATAAGGCTATTAACTATTAATACTATTTAGAAATTTCTTTTTGTTAACAACTCATTCTTAAATTTAAAATTGCTTGTATTATTTTAAGTATTGATATAATAGAAAATAGAAGCTTATATATTGAATTGATTTCTTCTTATGTATCAGTAATTATTTTATTATAAATATACAAATAAGTAAATAGCATTAATTGCAATATGATTTCTATTTAGTACTATATATCATCTTTAAGTAAGGGTTAATATTAAAATTTGTAACTTGCTGGTAAACCTTTTTTCACAAGTTCAAGATCTTAAATAAGTTAAAATATATAAATATCAATTTGAAAAATAATTATAAATAATTTCTAATATAGCAATTATATTTACTGAGAAAGTTTCTTCTTGAATTTTTAATCT